TCAGGAGCCCATCGACAACCATGAACCACATCAGTGGGGAGGTGGGACACCCTGAGGGCACCTTCTGCCGACGCCTGATGTCCGTCCCACTGAGACTAGCAGTGATGATACGTGAGCGGAGCATGAAGTCCATCCACTGGACGATAGTGCCGTCGATGTGGAAATCCCTCGCTGCTCCGCATATAGCTTCGAAGGAGGTGTTATCGAACGCCCCCTCGACGTCTAAGAAGACACATAACGTGGCTTCTTTCCTGTCGAGGGCACCTTCTATCTCGCGAACGAGGCCATGAAGAGCCGTCTCGACAGACTTACCTGCTTGGTAAGCGTGCTGTGATGGCTGCACCGGCATCCTCGCCAGCGCTCCATCCCTTATGAACCTATCAACGAGTCTTTCCAGCGTTTTCAGCAGGAAAGACGTCAAGCTAAAAGGCCTAAAAGCCGTTGCTTGGTCATATCTGTCTTTTCCCGTTTTTGGGATAGACTATTTTGATCTCCCGCCATGGCTTAGGTACGTATCTCAAGGCGAGACATGCTCTGAAGACACGGATCAGATGCTTGACTAGCCCGTCCCCTCCATTCTGAAGAAGAGCGGGGAAGAGCCCGTCAGCCCCCGGGCTCTTGTACCTGTCGAACGAGTCCAGAGCCCAGCGAATCCTGTCGTACGTTACCACTGCAGCAGCAGTGGTCCAGTCACCGGGTCTCGTGGCGCGGAGCTCCCCCTGAGTCAGGGGGCTATGCTCGACCTGGCCGGATCCCGGGAAGTGTACCTCCAATAGGTGGGCAAGGATGTCCTCTTGTTTCTCAAGCTGCTCCTCATTTGGGAGAGAGAGTCCACCGAGGCTTGGTTGCGGGCCATTTGCGAGAACTCTGCGAAGTTTGGCCACTAGAGGAAGGGCCTCAACTTCAGAGCAGAATTTCCCCCAGGCCTTGCGTTTAAGATATAACCTATAGAATTAAAATATTTTTATTATCAGCAGAGACATTACCGACAGTAATGTACTTTCAGTATTCGTCGGTAATATAGTTTCCTTTGCAAAGATAAAGTATTATCATCAATAGAAACATTACCTACAATGCTAAACACGTTAGATGGCGCCACTTATCAATCCTCTCGTAATGGCGCTAGTTTTGAAATTCAAATAAATGCTTTTTTCAAATATCTTATAATAGAATATAATTAATCAATAAATCTAGATTATAAATTTATTTACTAATATTATTTAAAAATAATATATTCTTTTTTCTTTTATTATTTTTCAGCCAACAACGTTACGCTCTCCAACCTGGCTGATTAATTTTCGTAGAGGTAACAGTTTTGAGTGTGCAACATTTTTAACAAGTCTTCTACTAGGACAAGGATACAATGCATTTGTTGTTTTTGGCTATGCATCTCGGGAACAAGTTCAATGCGACAGAACTAGAATTACCTATCCATATTTACCAGAAGAGGAACCAAAGATAATAGAAGAAGAACATGCTGTTAATTTAACATATAAACTCAAACCACCTGCAGACTTTAGAAGCAAATTTTTATTAAAATTGGATGCTAGAGAAAAATTAAAACTTGAAACTGAAATTAAAGAACAAGAAGAGAAACAAGCTAGAATTATAATGGTATATAATATTTTCTAATCAAATTTATATATTATAATATATATAAACTAATATTCATAATATTTTAGGAATTAGAAAAACCACAACCAGATAAATATCATGGACACAGAGTTCACGCTTGGGTTGTTGTTCTACCTGCCATTAATGATACAAAAGGAAAACAAATTAAGAATCCATTCTTTATCGAATCCTCAACCGGAGAAATGTATGACCTAAATGATCCTCAAACTGATCTTTTGTACCTTGGTGTGGAAAGTATTTGGAATGATGAAAATTATTGGATCAATATGCAAGATGATACAATTGGTTGCAACAAAATTAATTGGAATTTAACTTCTACCAAATTATGGGAACATCTACTTCCTGGTGAACCATGGACCATGCGTGGCATAGAAGATGAGTTAATGGAAGAAAATATTCAAATAGAACAAGAGAAACATTTGGATATGCCTGCTTCTTATGTTAATGAAATATTTATAAATAGTTTAGGTAATTTATTATGTTTTTGTCTTTTTCAATTGCTGTATAACAAAAATTACTTTGTTTGTAGATTATGAAAGACGATATCCACAAGGTCACAAAACAAAATTTTATAAAAAAGTAAAAGTTGATTTGTATTTACCCTACGTTCAATTGGATGGATTGATAGAAAAATTAACAATATACGATGATTACGAATATACAGTTCCAATTGAAATTTATGAAAAGTATGCTAACAGAAATGATCATTTAGTACGTTCACAAAGAAACTTAAATACTAATTATGTTACTGATTTTTATAAAAGAGGTCGAGCAGATGCATGCAAGGGTAATCTATAATAATTATAATTGTATATATTAATTTAATAATATTCTCTAATAATAAACAATTTATAGAACATCGTTATTATACGAACTACGAGAATTCATCGATGTACAATAAAAGAATGTTACATTTCTATGACTTTGTAAGATTAGATGGATTATTAGAAATTGATATACATCCTTTACGTTTAATACAATATTATTCCGATCGTGATGATTTATTATATTACAGGTGAGAACTATTATATTATATTTTTAATATAATACATTATAATATTTGAGAATATTATTAAATTAATATTTTAATACAGGAATGTAGAATTCTCACCTGATGAAGGTAATCCTGTATTAGATGGAATACATTATCGTCACATTCAAGTAAGTTTTGATACCTAACAAGAAATATTTCTTGAAAAACTAATTATATATATTTATTTCAGAGAATAACTGAAAAATATCGTAGAAACAAACAATTACCAGCATCAAGAGATATCGCTGTAAAAGAATTCTTTTTAACAGAAAAAGAAATACATTTAAAGTTTCATTATGAAGATGATAGAATTACTAGAGGTATACGTGTTTATAAAAAACCAGAACCAGGAGAAAATCTAAACGTTCATACTGCTGTTATTCAAGAATACAATGTAATTATTCTTAAGATGTTATAACTTAACATTAATCTAAAAAAAAAAAAATGAAATGTATTTACTTGTTATTTGATTACTTTTACAGCCAGATGCTGTGGCAGTACCTGAACAAAATTTATATTTATTCAAAGAATTGGAAAGATTATTAAAAGAAGAAGATCAATGTGTGTCTAATGTCAGAAATGCAGAAACTGAAATAATATCGTTTATCAAAACACGAACAAATGAATATTTACATCCACAATTAATTATTTCATCATTTGATAAAAATCGAATTGAAGAAACAGGAAGATCTATAAAGGTGATTTTCACAAATAAATTATACTCGTATATCAAAAATGTTAATCTAAATGAATTTGTAGGATACAATATCGATATCTCATAGTTTAGGAGATATTACAGAACCTGTCGATCATTTTGCACCATATTTGGCACAAATAGGAAATCCCAAACATATAAGCAAAGCACAAGCTTATTTATTACGAGAGGATTGTTTGAATGATTTTAAAGATTCCCAAGTGAATAAAGCTAATGTTATTTTACGTAAATCCGAGGAGCTTACAGAAGAGATGAAAAAATTGCAAGCATTGTTAACGCAGGTATAATACAAATATCGTATGATAAAGATTATATTACATTGTCGAAGTTATTATTAATAGATTGACATAGAAAATTGTATTTATATTTTTATATTATAGAACGAAGATTTAACACGGGAGGAAGAGGATGAACTTTTAGCAAAAACCAATGAAATTAATTTTAATCTACACTTGTTGGATATGAAGTTGGATCGTCATAAGAACTTAGTTCCTTTACGATACAAAATGTTGGTTGAATTTTTACAACAAGATGAACGTCTTCATCTTCTTAATGAGTAATAATAATGGTGTATCACTCGTTGCACATATTATATCTTTAAAATGAAATTTATTGGAACGACCAAGATCCCATTTGTCCGATACATCTACCTGAAATGATTGAATTGTTAATAACAAATGAAAAATTAATACGAAAATAAATGAATATACACACACCTTCGTCGTCGAACGTTGCCAATGTAAATTTGCTGAGTTTATTTGTAAAAGTACCAGTGTAAACAGTCGTAGAATGATCCGATTGACGTTCATTGTTTGTACCATCGTTGTGAGAACTGTGATTGCGATTTTCTTCAGCAAAACCAGAAATTAAAGTGTCCATCATTATTGCCTGAAACATATGTTATTATAAATTATCTATATAATATTTATTATTAATATTATTTCATGAAACTTACTTGTCTTGAGAATACTTGTAGAATTTTATAAACACGTGCACCATTTTCTCTAACAGGAAATTGTAAAAACAAACATGGTAAACAATCAGGGTTTCTTTCATCAGAAGGTTTAGCCATTTCCCAACTTAACTCTGAATACTTCAATCCTAATAGAAGACTCTGTTTAAAAAAAAAAGAAATTAATTATTATCTCTCTGTCAACAGTAAAACATGAATGAAACAATTGAAATGTTTTACTTTAACTCACACATTGCATATCATCAACGATATATACACCAGAAGTGTTAATGGCAATGAGAACTTGTAAATCACGATTGGTAATCCAAGATGCAAGTCCTCTAACTGGACGTTCAATTTGTCCTTGAAAGAATGCAGCACCATAACAAGGTAATCCCCAACAGAATTCAAGATACTTTCTAATAAGTTTTCGTGGATTTGTATTGGTCCCATAATGATTAGGTATTCCTTTATATTGTTCTAGAAGTCTAGCTTCTGGTGCTCCTTTACCACCAACCAAACTTAATCCAAATTCTAATCCTAATAGAAGACTTGGTGATGTGTAATGATGAGGTAAAAATCTTCCTCGGTGTCTTCTAAAAAATGCCAATGTATGGGTTTGTGAATTATAAGGGCCTATTTCGATACGTGCTTGTAAAGCTCCTAAACTTGCATATCGTGCTTGACCTTCACATGGATATCTACCTATGACATAAAAACCAAGTTTAAATTTGATTATATATAATAATAAAATTCATACTTCATAACTTAAGTCAAATATGTTTACCTTGCAATACATTATGTCTTGCTTCGGCATACAACAATTCTAACACTTTAGCTTCCTTTATTTGTTCTTCATCATATCTAGAAAGAAATACATTCCTACGAAAGTATAATATGGGTTCCTCATCAGTTTCATCTCTCAATGCACCATACTTCTTGACTAAGCGGTTCCATCTTGCAGCTAACTCTATTGGCTTGTGATTTGGTCTTAATTGAATTTCTAACTGCGATGAACACAACCATAAAGCGAATACTGGTTGACCAATTAAAGGTGGTGCTCTTGCTAATCCTAATTCTGCTTCTGTTTGTACTATTGCTAATATTTGTTGTGCAGTTGAATTTTGTTCAACTTCCATCGTTATGAATACTCCACTCATCAGATAGACTGCGATACGCACTGTGGCTCTACCAGTGTTCATGTACTGTGCTTGGCTCATCATCATCGCTGTGTAAAAACATAATAATGAATGAGAACAATTAAAAATTTGATTAAAATTGTACATTGCAGTATTAACAGCGAAGTAAATGATTGTTCTTCTAAAACATCTTACGCAGTGTTAATAACATTATGAATACTCACACAGTGGTGCATGTCCATCATTTTTGTAATCATTTGGATAACGTTGTACCAATTGTCCTCTTCGCATTGAACAATCCTCTTGCGTGTCCATATTCTTCAATAATCTATTTTATCTTTATGCTGAGACAATTGTTTACTTCAAATGTTTACCATTTTTATATTCATAGATTGAATATACAGAGTTGATTATTAAATTTTACAACGAGTGACACACATTTTTATTTTTTTGTAAACATAGTTTAGATTGTTTACACTCATTTGAATCAATTAAACAATTGCAACTTTTTTAATAAACATTTATAATTCCTCTTATTAATGTTCTTTATCAATTATTACAATATTCATGACTGATAACATTGTAAATTGTAAGATTTGTTTAGATTTTTTGTTAAATACATTTTGTATAATAGAAATTCATTGAATTTATTTAATTAATATAATTAATTATGGATGGAATGAATGAAATTGTTCGTTGATATTTGTAAGACACTGAATAAGTGTGCTTCAAAACAAGAATGCACTGCCATCTAAAGCATAGCTACAATTATTGATTATTCTTGTTGAGGAAGACATAGAATACTTTGAATAAACATTTCATACTTGATATAAAATATATTTTCTTTTTTTCAGCATATTTTATGATACAAATCAATGTATTTATTTAATTTATTCATATTTTATATTATTTATTTCTTTTTTTTATTTTATTTTTTTATTTTTTTATGTGATAATTATCATTTATTAATGTTGACCCTGTACATAAGCATCATATTGTAATTTATACTACTTAATATGCTTAATCATATGCGAATGATTGACTCGTACTACTTAAGTAGTAAGAATCAGATATATATATATATATATATGCTCAGATATTGTTTTAAGTATATTTATTAATATAAATTAAGTGTTCACATATGATCAATTATTAGATAATATAAATCAAATTTACATATATAATTTTTAATCAAAATAAAACACCGATTAAAAATTTTATTTCTTTAATTTCTAAGAATAAATTATATTTAAATGTCCGATAAACTTTTAAGAATAATATAAATCTATAAAGTTAAATATATTATGTTTTATTATTAAGAAAGAAATTATTGAAATCAACAATATTTATAAATTTATTTCATTATTTCTATTTATATCAAATAAGTAATTTAAATACTACCCTTAAACTAAGTAAACTTTGACGTTTTTCTTCAAATACCAATAGAAATCGAGATTTTCGGGTGATTAATTTGAAATGACTCACCCGGTATAAATGTCTAAAATTGGTCAATCTCTTGACGCAAAATATTCGGAAATGTAACAGGAGCACATGATGATTCAGAAAGTAACTAAAGATAGTTCACATTATCAACGCTAGATGGCTACACAAATACACGTTGTAAACGCTAGATGGCAGATAGCAGTGCACGGTTTGATCGTATATGCATATTTAAATAATTTATTTCTCAATAATTAGAAATTGTTTATAAACTTTTATAATCTTATATTATTGTAAATAATCTATAAAATATGTTGAACATTTAAATGTTTATAATTTATACTTGAAAATTGAATAAAAAATGTTTCTATCATTGACGGATATAGGCTAATATGTCATGACGCTTTTTTTCAAAATAATATATTTCTAAGCAAATTTTATAAACTTTTATGATTTTAAACTATTTTTAAGAGTCTGTAGAATATTCTGAGCATCTAAATGTTTATAATTTATGTCTGAAAGTTATATAAATTAATCTTTTAATATGTGACTAATATTTATGAGGAGAGGCGTCTACTAAAAGCTTATAGGCTAATAACCAACCAATGAGCGCTTTAGTTTTAGGACCGCCCATCCTCCGCTCGAATACCTCCTATACCTCTTGTATCATCATGCTTGCCTGATACTTTTTCTCAATTTTAAGACGAGAGAAACCAATTTTAATACTCGCAAGAGCGCCACTGGGTGGCAAATTTCAGAATTATCATCAGATCTGAATTTCAACGGGAAATTGAAAAAAAGACAAAATTTTGATTCGAAAGTTGCGTTTAAAAAATAAAATTAAAAAAAAAGAAGATATGAAGAAAATTATAAAAAGATTCTTAATAATAGTATAAATCCATATAAGTTAATAATAATAATTATTAATTTGTTGACTAATAAATTAATTACAATTATCAATTAATAATCTAATAATGTTTCATGTGTGATTATATAAAAATGAAAACAATGTGTCAGAAAGATCAAATAAAAGTGAATGATAATTAAATATATAAAACAAAATGTGTATTATAATCATACGTTATCTATTTAAATAATTGACAATAAAAATTATATAGATTATTCTTATTATTATTTACATATTATTTGAGTAATATAATTTTTTTCTTACTACGTAAGTTAACACAATTCTTTTTTATTTATTGTAAGATATGAACAAATAAATCAATTAACAAATAAATATCGATAAATATGTCTGTTCATTTTAAATAAGATACTTTTAAGGAATTTAAATGGATATAACATTTAATGGTAGAGAAAGACTGATTATGTCAGTATTAATAAAATATTTTATTTCAAGTAAATAATAATAAAGTATTTTCTTTCAAAAATGTTTATAAAGACGGTATTGTCATTAACATGTTCTCTGTGAAGCCAATTTTGATCAACTTGTCATATAGGCCATTTAATTTTCAGCACATTAAATGAATATGTCTGTGTGTTACACGTGGCAGGGAACATGTTAGTCATCGGTGAAAGTATTATGCTATTTCTTTCAGCACAATGAATATATGTTTGTAAAAGAAGAATAAATGTATTAATGTTATGATAAACTAATGAATAAATATACTTTTAGAGTAGAATAGTATTTGTTTCTTACTTTTACAATACTATCTTACTTTCTAAAAGCTTTCAATTCTGACCATTACTTGTCATCACTAACTAAATTCTTTTCGCATTACATTTAACAAATCTTTTCATCGAAGAAGATAGATGCAATTAATTTCAATATTGGTAATGCTAAAAAAAAAGGAACTTTTATGAACTGATCCAATACTACAGTGGTATCTTCTTTTTTGATGAACAGTCATCTTGTATTGAAATCAACATAATGAAGTGTTATACTCCTGTAAATTATTAAAAGTAATAATGAATATTTGAATAGTATCACATTTTGAAAATAAAAAGATTGATCATCACTTACATTTAAAAATAAAGTTATACATAATTCCATTAGTCAAAGGAAGCTAAATAATAAACAGGAAATAAATATTATATATACTAATGTCTGTATCACTAAAAAATCATTATAGTGAAATATCTAAGAGGTTATAAAACACAGATAGCATGTATTAGTTTATACTTAAATATGATTAGAAAACAACAAAAATCTAACTTTTCTAACATAAGAGATTTTCACAAACACATATATAACCCTATTTATTATATCTATCCATTATCATTCATAGTTTAAAATAAAAAATAAAGACTACTACAAAAAAAATGCATGTAAATAATAAAATTTGAAAAGAATGATAGGTTAGCGGCATATTTTTTAATAAGCTTGCTTACGAATTTCCTGCTGCATTCGAAGTGCATTGGCCGACATATTTGAACGAGCAAATTCGACCAATGAGAACGTTTGAAATATCATCGGCCTTCACGTCGGATCTCACGGATATCTGCATTTTTATTTAGGTTATAATTCGAACGTATTATTATATTGGGATATCATCTTAACCATCAGTCACATTTACGTCATTTTAATAATATTATTAACGTATTATTTAAAGTATAAATAAATAAATATTATTAGGCCTGGCCGGATTTATTGTGAATCGAAGAGATACAACCAACTTCAGAGGCGTGTCATGTTTGCAAGTAACGCGGCGTTATTGTTCGTTGTATTCTTGAAGGATTAATAGGTCTAAGTTTTATATATAAAAAATGCTTGCGTTAGGCCCAAAAAAGGATGGAGGACCGAATGCCAAATTTTTTGAATCTCCGGAAATCCTCGCACAACTTGATGGTGTTAAACAATGGCTTTTAAAAAATTGCAAAAAGGTATAGTATCATCTCGACTTACCAATACACGGCGTCGATAAATTTCATTAACAAATATCCAATTTTATACGTTTTATAATACTTATTTTGTTGTATTATTATTTCTTTAATTATTTATCATTAAATTTATGTATATATATATACATATATTTCAATATTTTATCATTTGTTCTTATGTATCAAATTTTCAATCCACAAACACTGATATTGATAGTGGTCCTTTAATTCTTTTCAATGTCCACGTGCACACAATTTAACCCACATTGCATAGAATTTGATATAAGAAAGTAATTAGTTGCTGTGATTCATATATCATACCTTACACTTTGTCATATAACGCGTTGTTTAATATTGTGCCAAAGTACTTGATTGAGTGCAATGATGCACTGCGAATGCAATTACTTTGTTATAAAGTTTTTAATGATTGATCTCATACAGTTATATTTATTAATATTTCTTGCAGTATGTACAAACAGATCCTCTTACAAATAAAAGTTTAGCAACATTAGTCGTACAATTGCTGCAGTTCCAAGAGGATAATTTAGGAAAAAATGTAACCAAACCACCCATGACAAGGGTACCGGTATGTATATTTATATATAAATTTATATATATTATTTACCATTATACAAATTACATATGTATTTATATATATATGTATATATACATGCAGAATGACCTGTAACTATTGGTACAAGTGAACAGGAAATGATTATACATGAAAAATTAAGTCAAAAATATTGAATTCGATTTGTTTATATAAGACACTGTTTTAAAGAAAAATTTGTTGAGTACGGATGCACCATGGTTACAGAACATCCTGTATATGCATTCCTTGTTAAAAAGATAGCATACAGGGAGTGTATATATAAAAATATATGTATATGTATATATATATATGTATGTATGCATTTATACATTGTACAGACAAGGTAATAATTATTTTCTCTAGATGAAATGTTTCTTAGACTTTAAACCTGGAGGTGGTTTGTGTCATATACTTTCTACCGCTTATCGATTTAAGCAAGAACAAGGATGGCGTAGGTTTGACTTTCCAGTTGGAAAGGTATTTTTTTTACAATTTATTTAACGTCAATAATATATTATATCTGATAACACAACGTAACACATTCCTTTTAATTATTTTTAATATAGTCAGGCTCTCGTATGGATCGTATAGTAGAAATGTTAATGGCAGCAGAGCGTGCTTTAACTCAAAATAGATGTTTGACTATACCTAGCGTCTTTGTAAGAGCCGACGTCGATAAACCAACGGCAACAAAAGTAAAAGAAGCAGTAAGACGACATCAAGGCACAGTTGTTGAGAATGAAGCAGATGCTACACATATTATTTTTCCATCAGTAGATCCAATGGAAGAAGAATGCGCTAGACCATGTATGAGACGTGAAAGATCGGTTCTTCTTCATTGGTATTACTTCCCAGATAGTTATGACTCTTGGACTACTCTAGATCTTCCTTGGGAATTTCCTGAAGGAACCCTAAATATTACAAGTACAAGGTACAATTAATAATTTTCTTTTGGTTGATTTATTATTTTGTTCCTTTAATTCTAATTATCTAAAATGTTATATTTTATTTGTAGATCAGTATATAAGGTTTCTGCGACGTGGGCACTTGATTTAGATTTATATAATGAATGGATGAATGAAGAAGATTATGAGGTAGATGATAGTGGACAAAAAAAAGTGCATAAATATAGACTTTTAGTAGAAGATCTAATGGCCCAACCTTCTCATCCACCGTCAGGAAAAAAACCCAAAAGGAAAAGATCCCCAAGTCCACCACCAAAAATTGGAAAACGCAAAAGGTTTTAAATATATATAATTAATTTTATAATACATATGCAACAGAGTCCACACAAAAATTTGATAAAATTTTTATCTATTTTGTTCTTATTTTTTCATAAGGAATAAAAGTGTGACCACGTTGTAGATATTATTTGATTAGATCCTGTAGTTTTAATTGGAAAGATATATGATACTAATTTAGCATATTACGTAATATTTTCAGTAGCAGAGCTCCATCAAATTTACAAAGCACTTCATCGACTTCTTCGGCAGCTACTCCAAAGAAATCACGAGGTACTGGAGATGAAGAAGAAGATCTTACTGAAGGGATGGAGGATCCACCAGCTGAACCTCGTATCGTCGAAGTTGTTGCCGCTCCTGCTAATCCTCCAATAACAGGCCAGAACAGTAATGCGACAACAAGCACTAGTTTAGCATCAACTGGAAACAAAAAACAAGATAATGAACTACAACCTCTCAAATCTGGAAATATGGCTGATTTGGACGAGCCTATAGAAGGTTTGTCAAAATAATATTGTTTTAAATTTTGTATATACGTATACTGTAATATCTAATTGTAATATTGTAAAATTTAAAAAGCAGGCGACAAAGGTAGCTCTCAGGGAACTCAAGACAGAGAGGAAAGAGATACGAGCAAAGAAAGAGGAGAAGGAGGTAAAGGAGACGAGCCAGAGGATAATGTTACAGAACAAACTCATCATATAGTTGTACCAAGTTACTCAGCCTGGTTTGACTATAATTCAATTCATACTATAGAGAAAAGAGCATTATCTGAATTCTTCAATGGGAAAAACAAATCTAAAACACCTGAAATTTATCTTGCGTACAGGAATTTTATGATAGATACCTATAGATTAAATCCTACAGAATATATTACATCAACAGCTTGCAGGTATAATTTTGTGTAATATAATTGTAAAAGAATTGTGTAATAAGAAGAAATTACTTTGTATAATAAGTTTGCTTTATATTTTTACAGGCGTAATTTAGCTGGGGATGTTTGTGCAATTATGCGTGTTCATGCTTTTCTGGAACAATGGGGTTTAATCAATTATCAAGTAGATGCAGAATCTAGACCTACACCTATGGGTCCACCACCAACATCTCATTTCCATGTATTATCGGATACTCCATCAGGCCTTGCACCGGTTAATCCAAATCCACCAAAAACACCTCAACCATCTGCAGCAAAAACATTACTTGATCTTGAGAAGAAATCTACTGCTATACTTGGAACAGAAGAAAAAGTTTCGGCTAGTGCTATGTCAAACTTTGGTTTAAAAGTTGACCAATATTCTAGGAAACCTGCAGTGTTAAAGAACAAACAAGCAGCTGGAGCAACACGTGACTGGACCGAACAAGAAACACTTTTATTATTGGAAGGCCTAGAACTTCATAAAGATGATTGGAATAAAGTCTGCGAACATGTCGGTTCAAGAACACAAGATGAATGTATATTACATTTCTTACGGTTACCCATAGAAGATCCATATCTTGAGGATGGTGGTCCAGAAGGTTTAGGACCTCTAGCGTATCAACCAGTACCTTTTTCAAAGGCTGGAAATCCAGTTATGAGTACAGTTGCCTTTTTAGCTTCAGTCGTAGACCCTAGAGTGGCAGCTAGTGCAGCTAAAGCTGCTATGGAAGAATTTGCTGCTATTAAGGATCAAGTACCAGCTGCATTGTTAGACCAACATTTAAGAAACGTTCAAGCTAGTGCTAACTCGGATGGTAATTATGTTGTCTCTTTCATAATAAAATAATGTATTTTATTATAAGAACTCTCTCTTTCTTTTTTTTTTTTTTTTCATAAAAAAAGAAAACCGATTTAAAAGATCGGATAATAAAAAAGATAATTTTTGATTATTAGGAAAATTTGATCCAGCTGCTGGACTTGCACAATCAGGCATTGCTGGTACGGGATCACCTGAACCACCTGATGATACTACAACACCGTCAACTACTGGAACTCAAGCATCATCTGTAACTTCTCCTCATTCGACAGGTCCAGCTTCTATAGAAGCAAAGAAAGAAGATCAAGAAAAATCGAAGGATGCATCGGATGTTGAACAATCACCATTAGAGATAACTAAGAAAGAAGATGATTCTAAAGAAAGCGAAGATGATACTAAATCTTCTGTTGATGCTGAAGCTATCGAGGCGAAAGAAAAAAAGGATAAGGTAAATCACTTTAAATATTACATTATATATAACAAGAGTATAAACTGATACTAATTAAACAAGTAATCAAATAAAATACTAACAAATTTTTATTATTATAAATAAAATAGGTTGTGAGGGACGCTCAATTACAATCTGCAGCAGCGGCTGCGTTAGCTGCCGCTGCCGTTAAAGCGAAACATTTAGCGGCTGTAGAAGAACGGAAAATAAAATCGTTAGTCGCGTTATTGGTCGAAACTCAGATGAAAAAGTTAGAAATAAAGTTACGTCATTTTGAGGAATTAGAAACAACGATGGAACGCGAACGAGAAGGACTTGAATATCAAAGGCAGCAACTTATTACTGAAAGACAACAATTTCATTTAGAACAACTAAGAGCAGCTGAATTCAGAGCACGACAACAAGCACATCAACGTTTAGCTCAAGAACAACAACAACATACATCTCCGGAGCAAACATAAAACTCTATTGTGAGTTAATTTTTAATTTTAGTGACAAATCATAATGGCATTATTCTCATTATGCTTTTATGATTGTTTCAAATATGATGATGATGATGATAATGATGATGATGATGATGATGATGCTGATGATGATGATGAATGATGATGACTCTGTAGGATAGTAAACATAAAAATTATACACTTATATATTTACAACACATTTTATCACCTTCATTATGCTGGAGATAGCAAACAAGTCGTCTTCTTCTTTTCTTTTTTAGTTCATTCTACTTTCATATTTCTTTTATGTTTATTTCTTAATTATTTTGTCAAATTTGTATAGATTTTTATACACGTATTAATAGTCAACAGTACATATATATATATATATATATATATATATATATATATATATATGTATTTTCAATTAAAAAAAAAAAAAAAAAAAAAATACTTATCTTCTTTCTCTTCTATAATGTATAAATTTATTTTGAAATATTTGTAAACAAATTATATATGAACGGAAGCTTCTATATATTATATCTTTTTTATTTGGGAACGATTTGTTTTTAAAGGAAAAAGAAAGAAAAAAAAAATAATAAGATATCACACAAGCCATCTTGTTTCAGTCTAATTATTCCTTTGCGCTTGTAAATTTTGCATGTATAAATACATTAAACACAAAAATAATCCGCATTAGTGTCTACATTAAAAATCAATCATTGTAGTATACACTATAAAGCCATAAAAATAATAGTAAGCATTTTTAATAATTATTATAATACTATATTAAAGTATTTCCATATTTTTTTTTTTTTTTTGTGAAAATTTTATGTTTCTTTTTTTTGTTTCTTATTTTTTTTCTACGACAATTTTTTCAATGATCAGTCTATAAAGCATGATTGTGTATCAATTCCAATACTAAATCAGTCATCAATCTAGCACATTTAGCTCCCGGTTGTGGTGGTCGTGGTGGTGCTTCTTTACCAGTTTCTGCTCTTTCGTACAAATCTGGAGCTTCGTTGCTTTCACACGTACTAATTGGCAAAATATCCAAAGCTAAACCGACACCAAATCGTCCACATCTTCGCATCTCTTTATTCAATCTAAAATAAAAAAGAAAAAACAATTTGAATTTTGATATATATTGTGTATTCAAAGAATATTTTGCATTTTCCAAAATGTTATTTAATCTTCTTTTTCTTTTCACTCACAATTCCCACATAATAGAAGCATTTTTTGGTGGTTGCTCTGGATTAAGTATATGCAGTGACGACATCAAATGAAAATGATAATGTTGAAGCAATTGCGTCATATACGTCTGCCTAACTTCTCCACTTGTACAGCAGTACAATAAATTTGCAAGATCAAGAGCAAGGGAACCGACTCGACTTAGTTGAAAATCGACTAAGTAAATGTCCTGTAAAATTAAAAAAATATTATAAAAGTACATTTATTATTATTTTAGGGGGTAAAATTGAATGTTTCCTCTTTCTTTCTTTCTTTCTTTCTTTCTCTCTCTTTCTCTCTCTTTTTTTATTCTTTTTAAGAATATTCTAAATTAACAACACACGGAACGTAAAAAAACGATTTTATACAATTGATCTACTATTTACAATTAAGACAACTTTTGTGTGTATTCCGATGCAAAGTATTTTACTAGTGTAAATAAATTTATTTATAAAGATAAAAAAAAAAGAAAGAAAACAAACAGACAAACATTAATATAAAGATAATTAACAAAATATAGTATATTTAAAAACTAACAAAATACGAATAATACCGAATCTTATCCATGAAAAATATATTAAATATTTTCAATGATCATTAATATATATATATATATATATATACATATATTATTAATATATATATATTTATATATATATATATATATATATTAAATAATATCGAGATATCATCACACACATATATACTAGAAAGTTCAAAAAAAAAATAATGAAGAATATTTGAAATTTGCTTATCATATTTAAGTATGTTGTATATTTTGAGAGAAGTTATTTGCGTTTTGATCACAAAAATATAATTAAAACTTACACGCCCCAAATATTATATGTTTATCATGCAAATAATATATTTTTTCTCTCTGTTTTTCCTCTTTATTTTTTTTTTTTTWTTTTATTTTTCTTCTTTTTTCTTAAGTTCTTTTACATTCTAGATTTCCAAAACCTTATAGCCTGATGAATGATTAAGTGGGATTTTTCGTGTAGAAATTAATGATGATAATTATAGGAAATTTTTTAAACTAAAAACCTTATAAATTTATATAATAAAAATACATTTAAAATAAATGTTATTCTATTCTTCATTTCTTTTTTTTTCTATTGAAATTAATTATACGAAATGAAAGAATATTAATTACATGATCCTCTTCTTTATATAATTTTCTTATTTGTTACTATAAAAAAAAAAAAAAAAAAAAAAACTTACTTCGGTATCAGAATCTTGTTGATCTCGAAAAAGAATATTATTGATCCAACAATCACCATGGCAAAATACAGTGAGTGGACCTTGTGCAGCAGCAAGTTCACTCATTGTACGGAAAAAGACATTGTCGTTTAGAAATACTTTTAATTTTCCCATAATTTCTTCTCTCCTATTTTCCATACACTCAGGAAGACCTTCGGATACCATTCTTATGGCATTATTAGCTGCAGTTTTGTAATATTGTCGATACCAATCTTCATTCTCAATACGAAATAATACTTCTTGTATACCTTTGCCATCATTCGGGTTTGATAATCTTAAGAATTCTTCCGGTCTTTTAAAACGATCAAAGATAAACAATAAAAATTAAATAAAAAAATAAGAAAATCAATATTTCTATACTATCATGTAAGAAATCAAATAAGAAGAATAAATTTACCTGGTTTCTTTTAACGTTAGACTAAGCGCATGAAAACCAGCCAAAGATTTCAATGCAAGCTTTAAATGTTCAAAATTAAGACCTTTTTGTCTATCTGCCATTTTAAAACCTCGTTCCCTTAAATCTTCCATTGCTATAAAATCTGTTCTTGCAGCATAAATTTTAGCGATACCATTGAAGACCTTTCTACCATTTATCTGTAACTGATTTAAAGCGGGCCAAACATATGTATAGAATGCAACTTCATTACGAAACAGAAGTTCACTTTTAAAAGCTTCCCTGCGTTCCTTGGATTGTGGCAAAACTTTATAGATGATTGCACATTCCCAATTATCCCATTTTCCAGTTTTGAATTGTTTCTTGCCTTTAGCACGAATACGATATAACATTGATGTATAATTATCACCCCTTCCTGATCCCGGTTCTTCTTCTACATTAGTAATCACCACATCGGACTCATCTTTCATTATCAACTCACGTATAAACTCTAACGTTAGTCGCATAGTCTCTTCCTCTTTTTATATATTTCCTTAAATGCTTACAAATATCCAATGCAATAAAAAGATCCTATCTTTTTCTCTTTAACTTGCTTGAATGAGAACAGATATGACTGTCTTAGTCTTTAAAGCAGATCAAAGTGTTATGACGTTATCCTATGTGATGCAGGAAATAGGTATTTGAGTGACAAGGGATTACGCTCTCCCACCATCGTACAATCTAATTCATTAATCGTTCGGAACCAAACTCAAGGGACAAGGACATTACGATGTACATGTCGATCATATGCATCATGTGATTTACATACCTTAGGGGGATAAAGCTACTAAATGATATTAATAACATTCATGGTAATATATATAGTTTCTTCGTAGAAATAATTTCATTATTTAATATACCTACGATTATTAGGTCTAATATTCTTTTTTTTTTTCATTTACAAATATTATACAATATTAGATCGATTTTTTTTCTTTTTATTATTAATAAATATAAAATCATAAAACACATATATATGTATTGTATATACATGTGCATTTAATGAATTCATCTGCTCGTGTTATCTAGTTACGAGAAAAATGTTCTAATAGTCAATGGTTTTATAGATAGTATAATACAATAAAAAGGTCACAGAGGCTACTGTTCATTATGCACTTAAGGGATTAGTTCTAATCAGATAGTTTCAATTCAAGTACATCATTTCCCACTAAACTGATCAACTTCTCTTTCTCAACTGCAGTTAGTGGAACAATATCATTTACTTTTTTAGCCATCGAGCCAGTTTCTCTTAGACCAGATTTCGTTGACCATTCAATTAAAAGCTAAAAATCATTAAATTATATTAAAGTAACATCTTATATATATATATAAATAATATATGTATATATCTTACGATGGCAATTGATCCGTAACTTCGGGAAATACAAATTTCTAACAATTCATTGATTTTTATCGCATCTAATTTACCCATTATCAAATTCTCATTGTGTATCATGAAAGATATTATTTCATGCACTTGATTGTGACATTCATCACGCAAGAGCAACAATAATATATCTTTCAAAATATCAATATCCCATATAAATTTTCTAATATCTGAAGATTTTATCTGTAAAAAGGTAATTAATATTTATTTCATAATATATAATATTAATTAAAAAGATAAAATATCATAAATAAATATAATGAATTATTAACCTTTTGATTAAATTGCCAGTAATCCCAAGCAAATGATGCAAATGTTTTATGAAGCGGCGAGTCTTGTTCCAAATTACATTGACAAGTTAATTGTAGAGTCAGTTTTACTATTCTGCTGTTAGATAACATATTGAACATATATATTTGCGACAAGAGTTTTGGTAAATGTTCTATGATTATTTCATTGGATTGCAGTTTTAAAGTTTCCAAAATGTTTTCTACAATGGATTGTTCTGGTATATAAAGATGTTTGCTTAATTGATAATAAAATTCGAAAAATTTTTCTATCGGTAACGTTGCTAATTTTAAGGAGACGTAGTGTCGATAATAAATGTTTTCCTAAAAACAACAAAAATAAAAGAACAATGAGAGAAAGAAGTATTATACATAACAGAGTTATACTTTCAAAAAATATACATATTTTAAAACTTACAGAATACGCATTGGCAATAAATTTGTAATTGTTATCTTTTAGAAGAAGATCGTGGATTTTTTCTCCTAATTTTAAATTAGTATCCATTTTAGCTATTTCCATAGCCATAGGAAAGAAGTTGACATCAGCTGGATCACGTAATTCAGGGTTATCCTTTTGTAATGCATTTATTATATCATTTAACATAGAGATTGCAGAATTGTCTAAACAAAAGGAATAATCAATATTCAATGAAATTATTAATAATTTAGATTAGAAAGACATATTTTTGTTATTTCGTATAAACATAATATATATATATATATATATAGTCTTACCATTTTTACTTTCCAAATGAAGTACATAACAATATGAAGCCAACGAGGGTTTTATTCCTATAGAGTTAAATTCTTTAAATAAAGTCTGTATAAATTCTTCTGCCAAATTATACGATCTCAATGAGTATATTATTTCCAAACATGAATTCAATGTGCCTAAATTGGGACGTATACCATTCGTACTCATATCTTGCAATATTTTGTACGTCATGTTAACAGGATCTGTCGAATGTCCTGCCACGAATGATATTATTTTTATTATTGCATTATACGTGTTAACGTTTAATGGTATCTTTTTTTCACAACATTGTAGATATAGCGGCCAAGCTTCTTGTATCTGCAAAATATATTTCATAATATTAAATTTTTTGAAATTTACAAGAAACATATAACATATATTATATAAAAATATTATCATACATTTAAATACTTAGCTTTACCGCATATTACAGCATTATATGCGGCAGCTGCAGTTTCTGCATCCTGTGACGTCAAGAAATTAAATAGTTTTTCAATATCTGCTGTCTGACTAAAATAAATAATAATTAAAATAATATTACAGAAATAAAATAACAATGTGTTAAGTAAGATTAAGATGCAGTTACGTTGTCAGATTTAATTAACCAGACAAACAAAAATATTGAATTTGTTTTATTAGAATACGTACGTCCAAGTATTTCTTTTCTTTCGATCATCTGAAAACTTATACCATCTTTCCTCTTGAAAAGTAAATTGGGAAAGATCCTTACTATTAGTAAAGCATAACAATTCTAAAAGATTTTGTTTAGCTTTGTTCGATACATTTTCTTCCAATAAGTTATATATATGTAAAGCTTCAGTTGTTTTTCCATGTGATATCGTTTTTAACAATATTTCTTCTGAGACTTGATCTTTTGTTTTATACTCAATTGGTGGCATGAATTCCTGGTGAATTATTTTTTATATATAATATAATATATCAATGTTATTTTAATAAATATTAAAATCACACTTACCTCTATAACAGGATCAGCAATATCGGTTCTAAATAAATCACCATGTTCTTTATGAACCCATATCGCTGTTTTTCTACCCGATTCCAAAGATAATGCATAATTTCGTTGAGCTTGTTTGGATGTAGGTACTAAAAATGGATCATTAAAATATTTATAATGTGGAGTAGAAAGATCCCTTGAGATGGTTTTTTCCAAAGCCTACAACGTATTAATTATTTAACATATTATTAAAAAATAGAAAAATACTATTATTTTGTACAAACCCTAAGAATATCTGTTGGTCCACGTTCTATTCTATCTGGTATTTTAATATCAACATTAGAAGATGTTGTAGAAGACACCGTAGAAGACGACTGCAACCGTCTTAAAATTTTGTTGACCATCCTATATAAGGTGCAATTATGTTATCAATAATGTCCAATAAAATAAAATATTTATTATTAATAAAATATTTGACATATTAATATAAAAAACAAAAGTAATTGCAAAATATTGTTTTTAAAAGAAGAATAAATATGTATTAAATCATGAATTCTATATCAAGTTAAATTGATTACACATATAAATAATAATATAATAGATATTAGAATAAATTTGTATTTTTAAAATATCTAATTACATACCGGCATGATGTATTTGTTAAAAACTTCATTATTTCATTCCTATTCCGACCATTCAAATAGGTTAACCTTATCAAATGAAGTTAGGTTAGAATTTAAACACGTTTTCGATATCGCGAGTTTCGATACATATACACTAGTACGAGTTTCGATACATAACAACACTATGTAGTAAACGATAGTATTGTCATTTATACATCTCAGCTGTTTGGTTGCCTATATGCAGGCTTAATGTTATTAGATCTTCAAACCATCATTTATTTATTATAATACTAATATTATTTATTTCATTAATTATAATTATCAATAGATTATTATAAATTAATCTAGTAAATATATGATGCATGTAGTTGTTCAAACTTTTTACATTTATTTATTAAAATGATGTACACGATTATGAATCGTAAGTATATTAAAAAAATGTCAAAAATACGTATGTAATTATTAATTTTTGTTTATAATATTAATTAGAAATAAGCTGATAAAAAATTGTTTTCTTATAAGTAATATTATTTTTAAAAGATATAAAAAATAAAAAGGTATTACACATGCTGCCCTCTACTTGTGATTTAAATAAGCGCGCTTTACAATTTGATATCTATGTGCATCAAATCAAACACGTTACGGTTCATTAAATAAAATCAGTCAAGATAAAATCGTGATATATGAGAAGAAATTAATTCGAAAATAAGATTTAATGTTATTGTTTCAACGAATTATTCCAAGCTTAAATATTATTAATATCTTTACATTAAAGCAGGTATAACTATAATTTATCTCATAATAATATTTTATTAATAATATTAAAATTTATATATAAATTATATATATATATTTAATTTTCAATTATAACGTATTTTAAATATTTCGTTATATTGCAGAGTGCGCTGCAGGCTACGATCATTGCAGTGAATATAGTTGTATATTGTGTTTAAATTAGAAAAGAAAAGATTCTATTCGTATAAGAAGAATTTGAAAAGTATTTTTATAGACTGATTTAGTCATAGTTATTTCAAAACTATTCTAACCTTTGAAACTATGTCATTTAAAGAAAGTGTCATTTGTTTTAATTAGAAATACAAATTTGAAAATAATATTTAGGTCAGAGAGATGGAAAAAATTGTAATCAAATTTTGAAAGTTATCGTCGTCTCAACTACCGTTGAGAAATAATACGTCTTCTTGCTTTCTCAGGTTCTCGTATCATCCTTATAATCCCAAGATCTTTATACACTACTCTTGAAAACGGCACTACGACAGCTGTTAGGAACACAGTAAGGTAAAGAAAGAGATTCGTTTTCTCCAAAAAAACTGTTTTTTTTTTTTTTTTTATAATTTTTAATTTTACATATGAATGGTGTATTTTTATTATGCAAGATGAACCCTTTGCTCTATTGGGGAAAGAATTGAATAAAATTTATAAGCGAGCTAAAACAGCATCGTACACACCACCCCAAATACTATGATGGTGCATAGCGGGAAAAAGAAGTACGCAATATGATGAAGAATTACAACGAGAAAGAGAAAGATAGAAAGAAAGAAAGAGAGAGAGAGATAGAAGAGCATGGGTTCAGAACCGTGCCGTGAGAACGTAAGTATGTGTAAGTTTGAGTAAAGATCTTTACACGTATATGCATCTGTATATATGTGAGTGGGTAAGCGGATGTACGTAGAGACGACGACGCGTTACTCACGTAAGAAGCCAGGTGTTTTATTTCAAACCGTGGGACTCTTTAAAGGGGATGCTTGCGGAACGCGTTACACGCGTCTTCCACCGTAGGATATGAATGAAAAACAGGATTCGCGATTCTATGGGGAACCCTCTCCCTCCCCACTACTTTTATTGTGTTTCCTCATTCGATCGAACGTAACGTAAACCCCCGTTTCTTCTTACCAGGAGGAGAGTGTTCCTTTTGATCAGGTTTTTCTTCTTCTTCTTTATACTTTTTTTCTCTCTCCTTTTCTCTCTCTCTTTCTGCATATGAGACGAATTAAAATGGCCGGATCTAGGCATAGGTACGCATACAACGCATATCAAGAAAAAAAGAAATAAGGAATGAGAAGAGTATGCATGGAAAGAAGGACCCCAAAACGAAAGAGAGAAAGAAGAAAGAAAAAGAGAAAGAAGATGGACTGGCACGATCAAGAGGGATCGGTCAGTGAGTGGTAGACAAAGGAAGAAGATGTATGTATAGATATATCAAATGTACACGTGTATACCTGCATTATGCATATATACATACATATATGTACTTATTATACATCAAAACTGAGAAAGAGATGTATATTTATATATATTATATATATATGAATATGGATATGTATATATACGTATACACTATATATCAAAAGCATTTCTTTTTCACGCCTAAGGCATGCACGGTCGAACAGGAAACCCGAATCTTAGGAGCCTACGAGAACAGCGATCATGTGAATTCGAGGTTCTCGCGGCGAGAAGAATCCTTTTCTTTCATCTTTTTTGCCTGTTCTCTTCTTTACCTTCTTCCTTCTTCCTTTCTCGCATCATCCTTTTCCTATACCTTCACCTTACCTTCCTTCTTTCCTTCTTTCTTTCTTTCTTTCTTTCTTTCTTTCTTTCTTTCTTTCTTCTTTAGCTTACCTTACCTCTACCTCTGTCCTCCTCTTTTTTTCACTACTGCAACCGTTTCGTGGAACGGTTACGTGTTGTGTGTGAGGAGGAACACAAAGGGATGTGCGCAGCTTTATTTCCAATTCGTGTGATCGTTAATAACGATCGACCAGCTAAAGGATTCTTGTTATTTGTCGAGTTTTACCCTTCCAACTACGATATAACCCCCTTCGAGGAATCCTTTCACTTATATCACTACAACTACTACTTTATACTCGCTTTTTGTTACTGTATTTAACTCTGAATGTTTTTTTTTTGTTTTAATTCTAACAGTATAAATTAAATCAATATTTTTACATATTGGCTAATTTATAGAAGATGCGTTTTCCTCTAAACATCAAGGGGTTACGTTTGTTATTTCCTTACGTATACACGTTCGCTAGCTATTAAGGTCAAGGCCACTCGAGGATGAACGTGCAAGCATTCCTCTTCAGGATATAACTATATACAACACACACACATACTTGGTGACACACTAATACTAATAGAATATCATATCCTTACCTGTTATCATTTATACTTATTGTTTTCTTATTCGTATTGCAGATGGAATTAAACTCGGAAGGAAGATAGCGGTTATTTGAAAAGGAATTTCAAATAGAATACATCATTTGTCCTTAATAATGTATGTAATCATACTTTTATTATTATCTTATTACAAAAGATATATCCAATAATGAAAAAACATTTGCAGTTAAGATTGTTTGTTTATTCTATGGGATGATAAACACAGTAGATCGATGAAATAGATTTTTTATTGGACAACAATTAATAAAAAAAAAACAATATTATGAACATATAAAAAGTAAACAGGAAATTAAATGAAATTTAAATTGAAATCAAAACGGTCAGATGATATCGAGTAAATTTAGCAGGCCGGGACGAGTGCAATTTGATTCAAACCATACAAATAATGCCCCCATCCGAGCCTGCCAAAGATTACTCATTTAACGTATTTGTTATTAGTTTGTTCTTCATTTGTTGATCTTCCAGATGTAACAGAATGCATTCCGATAGGCCGGGACCAGTGCAATATTATTTAACTAAAAAGCCAAATATTGACACAAATCTCGGCCTATCTTCGGTGCAAATTTCACTAATACATATACATATATATGTAGATACATGTATGCATGTCCTTCCATGTAGTGTCTTATTTCCTTCATCGAAACTGGACCCAAAATAACGTAATACTTAAGTTGTAACAGCCCAAGCTTCGAGAGCAGATATTTAGTTATGATTTGCAATCCATGGTCAAGGAATGGTACACGGTTGGCCACGTTCAAGAGTGGGGTTACAAATCGACTCAAATTTCGGACAGTATAAAACCGCGTCTGCTTTCATCCTGAGCTGAACAAAGGAACTATATATACATATATATATACCTTTACTACACTATATTACCTTTCTTAAACTCTCTAAAAAGGGTCCAGAAGATTTTTCATTTGGATATTCTTTTTGTCCTACTATTTTTCAAACTCACAAATGAAAATAATTATCAATAAATCTCGTAGAATGTTACAAATATAATTTTCATTTGTTCAAAAATGAAAATTGATTCTATATAACAGTATAATTTGTAAAAGAAAATGATAACTTACGAATAAAATCAATTTCAGGAACAACTCTGCGTGACTCTGGAATAAAAGGGAGTTACACACTAGGAATTCTTGGAATTTGGATGGTATAACCAAAGGAGGGATATATGAAACAATTTGCCTGGCCCCTTGTAAGGCTCTGTTAGAATCTTCGACAACCTCAACCACGACGACGATGACGATGGAACACACCACCCAAGAGAGCCCTAATTTCGTAGGTTCGCGCGTTCTTGCCTAACAGAAAATGCATCCAGCGTCTTCACCAAACTATATCTCTGTATATACATGTACGTGTATGTATGTGTACACGCGCTCGAGACTCTACGATTTGGCCTTGGCGGTTAGTTTCCAAATCGAAGAGCCCTTTCTGTTACATGTTTCTAGATATATTTCGAGTTATACTATAGAATTAAGAAAACAATTTCTATTTATAATATGAATTCTATTTAATTTCTCGAAATATTTTCAAATTTTTTTCTTTTTTTTTTTCTTTGAAACGTATTTGAAATGAGAGAAATATGTTTATATATTGTAATGACTTTAATATTAAAATATTTTTATTACTATGACCTATCCTGTTTCTGTTTCAAGTAAGCGTGAAGAGAAACCCGGTTCCGTATGACGTTCGAACGACGCGCGTGTTTGGACGACTATGACGAACTACTATGACGAGGACGCGACTACTGATGGAAGAATGAGAGTAAGAGTAAGAGAGAGAAAGAGCGAGAGAGGGAGAGAGAGAAAGCGAGGTTGTTTGAGAAGTAGGGATAGGAAGAAACGGAGAAACCACGCGCGCAACCTCATCCTTCCAACACAACGAGTAATTCAAAGAGAGAAAGAGAAAGAGAAAGAGAGAGAGAGAGAGAGAGAGATTATTCTTTCTTTTATAACGATTAACGTGGAAATCATGCGATAACAATGAAATATATTCAATTCCATTGCAATATGACCATTT